CTTGTTGGACTGACTCAATAGCATTCCCTTTTTATTGCTCTCGAAGCAACATACATGGGCATGGAGGCTGAGAATACTATATTGTTGACAAGCGTGTTCGCTCGATGCAACACTGGGGATCCTATTGGATATATTATTGGATAACGATGCAACTTTGCCGCATGCGTTGGTACATTATATCATAGTTTGTGGCATATTCAAGATGAGATCATTCTCACACAACCTAGTGCGAAGTTAATGCGATCAGAAGTGTTAACCTATATTTACATATTCAAGATGAGATTGTTAGGCTACAGTGAGGTACATAGTACAAGGACAACACGTTAGGGTTGCCTAATTGTATCTCATGCTTGCTAGTTCACATCACTCCGCTGTACGTATCATCGCAGGTTGATTCCACCGCCTATCAAGCTAGGTTCTAGACCCCCCACCACCTCCCTACCTAGGCCCTAGCAGTCCCGCCGTAGACCAGGCATTCTGCCATCCGGCCAGCAATCCCTCCAGCCAGCCTTTCTGCCGCCAGTAGAACGTGCACACTGCATGCAGAAACGACCTCGAACGCCCTCCCCCCCCCCCCCCCCCCCCTTCCCCCTCTTCAAAGTGTACCCTGGCAAGGCCCCCTAGGGCCCCCTTCCGTCGCGCTAGGTCGAGGTCCTCGCAAGGTTCGCCTCCCGTAGAGCCCCCCCCCCCCCCCCCCCCCGCAGCCCCCTTTCCGTCATATAATGTCCCCCACACCCCCTAGCCCACCCCTCTGCGGGCCTTGATTTCGCCACCCCGCGGGCCCTGCCGTCGCGCTTCACAAGGCCATGTCTGCAGGCACCGTTTTCATCACGTTAGGCAGGCTCCGCAAGCCCCATTTTTCGTCACACTAGGTAGCTCCCTCCCCTCCCCCACCCCTTCGGCCCCTCGTAAGATCGTCGCGGCTCGTCTGCATGCCCCGCTTGCGCACTCGTCGGCCCCGTTTCCATCTCATAAGGTGGCCTCTCCACCCCCTCTTCCCACCCTCTCGCGGGCTGCGTTTGGTGAGTCTGGGACAGCCCCGTCAGCCCTCCCCACCATCCCGCTGTCGCGCGTCCCGCGACCAGGGCGCGCCAGCATTAGCACACCGCCACCAGCGCGCGCCAGCACCAGCACACCGCCACCATCGCGCACCAGCAGCAGCATAGGCCGCCGCCAGTAGCACTAGCGGTAGCACAAGCCTCCGCTAGCAGCGTGCGCCCCGCTTGTGAGCCGCCCTCCTACCTAGCCCTACCGCCGACCTCCTTAGTGCGGAGAGTCACTACACAACGGGAGTGGACTACGGTGGAGGGCACAGAGTTGTGCGGGTGATCGTAGCGTTGTTCTAACGTTCTTACTGCTTGCTTGTGTTCACAGAGAAAGTTTGCAAGAGTTTCCACTAAGGAAGTTGAAAAGAACAACTTGGAATGAAAAGTTGGTAGTACAATTGAGGCATGCAGAACAAAAGGAACTAGAAGGGCATTCAACTCCTAGCAAGGGCGAAATCTGCCAGCGCAGCAGAAGAGCGGCTTGCCAACGTTGCAGCAGAGTGTTCTGCCAACGTTGCACTGCGCGCGGTCTGCCAGCGTTGCAGTCGCAGGTGACTATCTGCAATCGCAGGTAAACAGCTGCAGTCGCAGGTTGTCTATCTGCGCAGATGTGCGCATCTACCAAGTAGGTGCAGGTTGGCGGTTTCACCGTCAGGCACATTGCGCAGGTGCCAGGTAGAAAACGTGTCGTCGGTTTCTTCAGGTGCACACCGTCGAGCACGTTCTGCCGTTCCGCAGGTAGAACTTCGCCAAAATCTCCTGGGCGAAAGTTCGCACACCTCCGCAGAGTTTCGCAGAACTCTGCAACTTCGGTCGAAGGACTCGCCATCGCTCGGTCGAACAGAGTTCGACGAGCAGAGCTCCTCGACCAGAACTCTTCGACCAGAGTTCCTCAACACGAACTCCTCGACCAGAGTTCCTCGACTCGAACTCCTCGACCAGAGTTCCTCGACGGAAGTTCGTCGCGCAGAGATCGTGGACCAGAGCTCATCGCGCAGAGATCGTCGACCAGATACCGTCGAGCAGAGTTTGCTCGACTGCAACTTCCGTCAAACTGCAGAAGACTACTTCTTCTACCAATCCGTCGAGAACTTCCCGTCGACGGCGAGATCGGCTGCGCCCAAGCGAGGGCGGGGCCTTTCTCTTCGACACTTAGCCTAGTCCTGTACTCGCCAACAAGCACCTGCACACTGCCACCACCCACCAGTGCTCGTCGCCTCTCACTATTCCTGTCCCTCGAGACACTTCTCGCAGCCGCTGGAGGTCGTATTCTCCCCGTGCTGGCGTAAATTCGGGTTTCTTCATTACCGTCACTCGTCTACCATTCCTAGACTGCGTTCTTATTCAGCTGTTATTAATCTCCGCTCCCTTTCGCCATGTCGTCCGCTAGAATTCAATATCGGAAGTCTTAGCAGTGGGGACCTCAGCGGCAATAACGTCTTCAGGAGCAATTAGGCATCAATAACAGTGATTTTTCCCCACTTATTAGAAAAAATCATGAATGGGAACACTAACACACTCATGAGATTTGTTTATTTTATTTATTGGAAAATATAAAGCTGCCATGCTGATTTTTTAATTCTATTTTTTACAGCTATGAATTTCGCTAGAATAAAAGAAGATGAAAAACAGGGCCTTTTGAAATTATTATAAGCCCGCCAGGGCCTATATAGGAAGTATGGAATATTGGTTTAAAAAACATAAACTAGCCCATAGAATGTAGCATATATGCAATAACATGGAAGATGTAAAAAGCTAACATTTAGGCATAGAATGATATACACTTGCTCCCGAATTACGAGATTTTTTTTGTCTCGAAATGACAGGTCGGGTAGCTGCCAAAATGGCTTGGTTGCTCCGCAACGTGAACGGGTGCGTGCGGAATGCGTACCGTACGCAGCTCAACTGCGGTGCGCGCTTGGTTCTGTACCGCTACGCGCTTTCCACCTTGAAAGTTGAAGCCATGGGCGAGCTGTACGATCTGGTGGGCTTGTTGCGTTGGGCTTCCTACATACAGCTCTGCACTGCACATCCGTGTACGATCAAGTTTACATGTACAGTCCTTCGTCTGGGTGGCCCAGTCTCACCGACCCAATCAGCTGTCGTTTTGACACCAGCGTGACAGATCCACCAACCCCTGCCAAACCAAGCTCGTACGTACAACAACTGACACTGGCGTTGCCTGCAGTCAAGGTTCACAAGCAAGCAACACGACTGCCAGCGCACCACCAAGTGAAGCAACACCGGCCACACGACCGCATCAGCCAGACTACCACACGCGGAGTCACACGCCGCACCAACTCCCTCACACGTCCCCCTAAGGGCGAACCCGAAACCCGCAACCTGGGGAAATGCAGTCACCTGGCCCCTCTTTCAGCCCCTCCCCTGACCAACGTGTCCCCCCAGCCCCTATTTTCTTCCCTATCATTCATTTTGCAGCAAACACCTCCTTTGATGGGCGCTGTACTTAGTCGTCAGACTGCCGTTTCTTGCGTGGTGTAGTGATACAGATCGCCATAATCACACAAAACAACTAAAGAGTCGAGACTACAAGGTCATTTGCTGGTTGGAAGACAATGAACGGGCACATATGTTTTGTCATACAAGCATTTGGGTTCCCCCCTTCCCCTAGGTAGCGAGGTCTGAGCAACCATCTGTAAATTCGGTCGCGCAACGTCGCACAAACGAAGCGGCGCGCCCTCGCCTACGCGAGTTTCTCGCATCCCCCCCTCGCTCGCACGCGGTTGTTTTTTTCTTGCCCAAAGTGGACCCTTATCTTGACCTTTTTTGGTCATCCAGATCCACTCCGCGTCGCACCAGCCGATCGTTCTTCCTCACCAGCCTCCTCGAGATAACACCTAACCCCAGCCCTTGGTTTTATCGACCCGCATTGTCTCTGACTCGCTGCGCCTTTCACATCCGCTAGGCTGTCACGTTCGCTCATTGGGCTTGTCGTTGCACTGGGCTCCTTGATTGGCTGGCTGGCTCGGTCCATGCCCGCAACGCGGATCCCGCGCTCGACGACAGACAAAGCAAGCAATCAAGCGATTGCTTGCGAACACAAAAGCAGCCGCATTTTCCATGTCGCAAGTTTGCGATGTCGCACACACGCAAAGCCACGCCAGCAAGCCGCCATACAGTCACTAAGAGCGGCTGACTGGGGCAGAAGTGCTTGATTAGACCGCCTTCTCAGGTTCGCAAGTCCTGAATTTATTCGCAGAAGCCAAGGAATCAGGTAACCAAACCACGGGTCAAAAGCAGGTGGGAGCTAGGCGAGGGGAGCTGAGAAGGATTGCGAGTGATGCGAAGCAACGATGGCAGGTTACAATTCAGGGTTGCTGGCCGGACTGGAAAATGGCGTCACTCCAGGAGCACTGCTATGAATGCAGCACAGAAGACTCAGTGCTTTCACTTCACTGAGTGCTTTCACTTCCTGGCATTTCCCTCGTACGTACGCGTACATCCTCCTCGATAACCAGCTCTTCCAACACCCGCAAATCCCTCATTTCGTTGGTATTTATTTCTCAATGATACCTCAGGCTCGCATGGGTGTCTATTCGCTGGTTGGTAGTGCTTTTTGAATATTCCCTAAGAAACACAGCCAGCGTTAACATCCTCTCTCGCAAGCGCTGCCGTAGATTTCATCGAATCGAGACTTGTCGAAAGCTCGTACTCAGATCCGAGCGGGGACGAGACGCCACGTGCTTAGCACGTGTGCGGCGGCGGCGGTGGCGGCGACGGGGCCAGCATTAGCTTGCCAAAGTGGAGAAGTGCTACTACTGTTGCTGCTACTACATCAGTTACTTGATATTGAGCTGACATCACTGAGCGACGCTTACTTCACGAGACGACACTGGACTGGAGCAAGGAGAGCGGAGTGAAAAAAATCGAGTGAAAAGAGCGGAATCGGAATCTCATACTACACGCGCGCGGAGACTCGCCGCCGCAAGGATGATGACGGCGGAAAGCGGTGCGGGTCCTCCTCCTCCGCCGCCGCCCGCGCGCCGTCGCCGCCAGCAGGGCGTTTTGGAGCTTCTCCAGTGCGCGCTATTCGCGCCGAAAGGCCGTCCGCCGCCGCGCGGCGCGCCGAGCGGATCAACGTCCGCTCCGCTAGTTTCCCGCGAGGCAGAGCTCGGCCCAGCCGGCGCCGGCGCGGAGCCGATCTCCACGGCGGCGGGCGCATCTTCAACCTCCCCCGACGCGGAAGCCGCCTCGACTGATGGGAGCGGCGGAGAAGGCGGAAGCCGCCGCAGTGGCGACGTTGCGCCTGTGGCGGCGGAGGTCCTTCTCGCGGTGGGCGGAATGGCTTGCGCCGCGTGCGCCGCTTCCATCGAGAAGGCGCTTCTGCGCCTCGAAGGCGTGTCGAACGCGACGGTCTCCGTTATTAGCGAGCGCGCTAAAGTCACCTTCGACAGCGCGTTGACGAATGTGAGTGCCACCCGTGCCGCCGCTGCCGCCACAGCCGCCGCCGCCGCTGCGCGACCTCGCGAGCGCACCGCTTTCAATGCTAACAATACTTGCGTCCCTTTCAGCACTACCGCCAGAACACACATCATTACCGCTTTCAGACGCAACATATTCGCTTGAACCCGTACCATCCATCAGAGTCTATTATGGTTATGGCCCGTCTCCGTTGTTCGTCTCATTCTAATAATTCTGTGTCGTGTCGCGCGCCTTGTGGCTGTAACAGGAGGACGACGTAGCGAGCGCCGTCGAGGACGCGGGATTTGACGTCAGCATCATCTCCTGCACCATGCTCGCCGTGTCCGGCGGCGGCGGCGGCGAAGGAGATGCGGGAGACGCCAGCAACGCCACCGCGGGCGATGCGCACGCGGCAGCGGCGGCGGCGGCGGGAGGGCTACCCAAGTCGATGGGCGGAGCGCGCGCGATTCGCTTCCGCGTGCCGGCGTCGTCCGCGGATCCAGAAGAACGAGCAGCAGCAGCAGCAGTAGCAGCAACGGCGGGGATCGCCGCCATCAGCGGAGGAGATTCGATGGAGGAAACGCCGTTGGTGGTGGATCAAGCGACGCTGCTGGAGCGAGCGCTACAAGCGACCCCTGGTGTTCTGGCCGCGTCAGTGACTTGGAGTCGCGTGCCCGGCGGCGGTGGCGGTGGCGGCGGCGGCGGTGGCGACGGTGACTTGGAAGCGCACGTTGTGTACTCCGTCTCCCCTTCCCCCGCGCCCGCTTCCCCCGCTTCCGCCGCCGCCACTTCCGCTCCCCCCGCGCCTCTCTCCCCAGCGGCGCTCCTCGCGGTTATCCACAAGGCGGGCTTCCCTTCCGCGAACCTTCTCTTCGATTCCCCCTCGAGTTCCGCCAATTCCGCCGGTTCCGCGGGTTCGCAGCACCAGCAGGTGCGCTTCCAACTTAAGGGGCTCGCGTCGGCCATAGCAGCCGGCACGTCCCAGTCCGGAACCGAAGCTACTAAACTCTCCGCGTCTGTCAAGGGCACTAGCAGCAGCGCTCCTTCCGCTTCTGTCAAAAGGACAGGCAGCTCTCTTTCCGCTTCTGGTAGGAGGAGAAAGGCTCCCTCCGCTCCGCCCTCCTCCCCCGCCGCCCTCTCCGCCTCCCCCTCCCCCTTCCTCTCCGCCGCCCCGTTCTCGCCCGCGCTCGCCGCCCTCCCGCTCCCCACCTTCATCGAAGCTTCCCTCTGCCTCCTCCCGGGCGTTTCCGCGGCAGCAGTCAACACCCCCAGCCAGCACGTCACCGTCTCTTTCAACCCCGATATAAGCGGACCCAGGACTCTCCTAGAGGCTCTACAATCGGGGCTGGTCGAAACGAGACGGCTGGAGCAGGTAGACTTGGCGGATAGGGAAGGGGGAGGCGTGGGGGGGAGCGCGGGGTCGAGGCAGCGAAGGAAGGAGATAAGGAAGCTTCGGCAGCAGTTTATTTGGAGCTTGGTGTTTTCCGTGCCTGTGTTTCTGCTGGCCATGGTGCTGGATCGAATCCCGCCCTTTGACGAGTGGCTCATGTATCGAATCGTAAACTGGTGAGTTGGTTTCTGCGCGTGCGCATGTGTGTGTTGTGAGCGTGCGTTCGTGCCGGTGTTTATGCTGTGCGATGGTGCTGGTGCATGTGGGTTGTGAGCTCGATCTGTCCCGCCCCTGCCGTACCTATAGCTCAGTTGAAGGCCATGGTGCTGGATCAAATTCCGCCGTTCGACCACTGGCTCATATACCAAATTGTCAGCTCAGCGCCGCTCAGCCAACATGGATGGACGTAGCCATTTTAGTTTTGAGACGCCTCAAAATTAAAGATGGACTTTGCTAACGTAGCCATTTTCTACTCCCTCTTCATCCTCCTCGCCTCTGCTCCCTTTCCTCTTTCCCCTCCCTCTCCCCTCTCCCTCTCCCTCTCCCCTCGCTCCTCCCTCTCTCCTCCCTGCCTCCCTTCTCTCCCCTCTCCCCGTTCTCCCCCACACCAGCCTGACAGTGGGAGTGCTGGCCCGCTGCATCCTCACCATCCCAGTGCAGTTCATCATCGGCTGGCGCTTCCACACGGGCGCCTTCAATTCCCCTTCCCTTTTCAACCCCTCTTTACGCCTTCCTACTCCTTTCAAATCCCTCTCCTCCCCTTCGCAGCTTGACAGTGGGAGTGCTGGCGCGCTGCATCCTCACCATCCCTGTCCAGTTCATCATCGGGTGGCGCTTCCACACGGGCGCCTTTCTCGCGCTCAAGCGCCTCCGCCCACTTTACTCCTTCCAACCCCTTCCAACTCCGTCCAAGCCAACTCCCTCTTTCCCCCCTCTTCCCCACCGCCAACCCCCCCTCTCGCAGCCTGACAGTGGGAGTGCTGGCGCGCTGCATCCTCACCATCCCCGTCCAGTTCATCATCGGCTGGCGCTTCCACACGGGCGCCTTCAATTCCCCTTCCCTTTTCAACCCCTCTTTACGCCTTCCAACTCCTTTCAAATCCCTCTCCTCCCCTCTCGCAGCCTGACAGTGGGAGTGCTGGCGCGCTGCATCCTCACCATCCCCGTCCAGTTCATCATCGGCTGGCGCTTCCACACGGGCGCCTTTCACGCACTCAAGCGCCGCTCTGCCAACATGGACGTGCTTGTGTCCCTTGGCACCAACGCTGCCTTCTTCTACTCTTTCTTTATTCTCATCGCCTCGGCTGTCACCCCGCCTACGGAACTAGCTCCCCCCTCTGCTTCTCCTCCTGCTGCTCCTCCTGCTCTTCCTCCTCCAAATTCTGCTGGTGCTCCCGGCACGGGAACCAACGCATCGAGTCCTGCGAGTAAGATTGATTTGTCTGCTCTGGCTGGGTTTCAGGGCATGCCTGGTGCTGCTGGTAATGCTGGCGGCAGCAGCACAGCATATGGGACCAGAGCTGGCGGAGACTTTGCAGGGGAGGTGGGTACATGGGAGTGGATTGGGCGCATCAACAGCAGGAGCCAGGGCCTCTCTGGTACCAGTTCTTCCAGTGCTGCTGCTGCGGAAGCGAGTTTTGAGACGTCTCAAAAGTGGATCACGCATGTGAGCAGCAGGAGCCGGGGCCTTCCTGAAAGCGTGGACGGCAGGAGCGAGGGCCTCTCTGTTACTGGTTCCTCCAGTGCTGCTTTTCCTGAGTCGTCATCGGTACCGGGGCAGGGGAGGATGGCTCAAGAGGTGGCAGCAGGAGGAGCGGCAGCAGCAGCAGAAACAGCAGAAACAGCAGGAACAGCAGAAACAGCAGAAACAGCAGCACCAGCAGCACCAGCAGCAAATACAACGCAAAGCCAAGGGGAGGGAGAAGCGGGAGGAGGAGGAGGAGGCGAAGGAGGAGGAGGAGGCGAAGGAGGAGGCGAAGGAGGAGGAGGAGGAGAGGAGGAGGAGATGCCAGTTACAGTCACGTACGCATATGCTGGGATCGACTTTTTCGAGACGAGTGCGCTGCTGATCTCGTTCATCATGTTGGGAAAGTACCTGGAAGCTGTGGCGAGAGGCAAGACGAGCGATGCCATAGGGAAGCTGCTGAAGCTGGCTCCTGATACTGCCACGCTGCTAGAGGTGGAGTATGGGGGAGAGGAGGGGGGAGAGGAGGGAGAAGGAGGAGAAGAGGGAGGGACGGGAATGGAGATTGGGGTTGAAAAGTGTGACAGTGGTGGTGGTGCTGCTATGGCTGCTGCTATGGCTGCTGCTGCTATGGTTGCTGATGCTGGTAACCCTACCCGTGCTGTGATTACCAGTGTTAGCAGCGGCGGCAGCAATGGGTATGGTTGTATGAGTCCGGTCAGGGATGACAGTAGCTTCACACGTGGCAATGCCATGCAAGAACCTGACTACAGTTTCCAGTCGGATGACGTGGCGCTCTTTGATTCGACGCGCCAGGTCGGCTTCAGCTTCAAGTCTGACGTGGCGTCTGTTGATTCGTGCTTGGAGAAAGAGGTTATGATGACGTTGATGGCAGGCGATCGTGGGGGGGTGAGTGGGGAGGAGGAGGGGGGGAAAGAGACGGGAGAGGAGGCGAGGGGATTGATAGCTGGGGAGGAGAAGAGGGGGTATGAGTTGGGTAAGCAGGACGGGAATGCGGCAAAAGAGGAGAAAGAGGGAACGGAAGGGAAGGAGGGGAAGGAGGGGAAGGGCGGAGAGATGAGGGTGGTGGGGGAGAGGGAGATTGAGGCGGCGTTGATTCAGCGGGGGGACATCATTCGAGTGGTGCCTGGAGCCAAGATCCCCACGGACGGGGTTGTGGTGTGGGGGCACACGTGAGTATGCTGCTTTGGGTATGCCGTGGTGCTTGGTGTTGTGCTGTCGTGGTGTGGGGGCAAAGGTGAGTATATTCTGAGTATGCTCTGCTGCCGGCCAGTCTAATCTGTCTCTCAAGCAATGACCCCTTGTTGATTCAGAGGCGAGATATCATTCGAGTGGTGCCGGGAGCCAAGATCCCCACGGACGGTGTCGTGGTGTGGGGGCACACGTGAGTATATATATTCTGTGGCTTTCAAGTCCATACAAGGATGGTATGAGGGAAGTGCGAGTCTTGAGACGTCTCAGAGTTTGTGTGAAGCCAACACACACACACGTGACGTGAGTGTGTTATCCTCACTTAGATTTTCAGACTCGGTAATTCCTCCCTTCCCTTATCCCTTCCCCTTCCCCTTCCCCTCCCCTGCAAACCCATCCTCCCGCTCCCTTCCCCCACCCCACCACAGCTACGTGAACGAGAGCATGATAACGGGAGAGTCCCGCCCCGTGCTGAAGCAACTCGCCTCCCCTGTGATAGGCGGCGCGCTCAACCTCGCAGGGAGCATCCACGTGCAGGCCACCAGGGTGGGCGGGGACACACGTCACCTACCCTCTCTCCCTACTCCCTGCCTGCCTGCCTACCTGCTTCATTCTCTCCCTCCCTCTCTCCCTCCCCCCTCCCCCTCCCACTCTCCCCCCACCCCCTCCCTCCCTCCCCTCCCCATTACCCCGCTCCTCCCCCGCAGCTATGTGAACGAGAGCATGATAACGGGAGAGTCCCGCCCCGTGCTGAAGCAACTCGACTCCCCTGTGATAGGCGGCGCGCTCAACCTCGCAGGGAGCATCCACGTGCAGGCCACCAGGGTGGGCGGGGACACGGCCCTAGCGCAGATAGTGCAGCTGGTGGAGGCGGCTCAGATGGCCAAGGCGCCCATTCAACGCGTGGCTGATCAGATATCAGCGATATTCGTGCCCATGGTGAGTGACTGTGAGGGGGAAGGCTGGGAAAGCTGGGAAAGGCGCTGCCACAGGGAGGCAGATCGTGCAGCTGGTGGAAGCGGCTCGGCTCAGATGGCCAAGGCGCCCATTCGGAGGGTCGCTGACAGCATATCGGCGATATTTTGTTCCCACGGTGAGCGGTGGTGGTGGTGCTGTGGAAGGGTGAGGAGGGTGGGAAGGGAGTGGGAGGCTGGGTGACTGACCCGCCAGTACAGAGGTCGCATTGCAATAGTGCATGTGCGAAGGTATGCATCCTTTGTCGACAGGATATCAGCGAGCACGGTGTATTCGTGTGACTTTTGAGAATTCTCAAAGGATATCAGCGAGCATGGTGAGTGGGTGCGTTTGGTGCTGTGCAGGGTGGTGTTGCTGTTGTAGGGTGGTGTTGCAGAGAGAGAGAGAAGAGCAGTGGTACCTTGGTGTATTTGTTTGTTTGTTTGTTTGTTTGTTTGCTTGTGTGTTTGGTTGTTGGCTCGCTTGACTGCTGGTTGATTGCTTAGACTAGCTTAGTGCCAATGACTGTACCTTGATGCTATTAATACGAAGGACCGTTCGAGAGAGAGAGAGAGAGGCTCAGACGTTGTCCCTCCCTCCCTTCCCTTATTCTCCTTGCTTATCCTTCCTCTCACCCTCCCGCCCAAACCTCCCGTCCTCCCCAGCCCCCCTTCTCACCCTCTCTCACCCCTTTCCTCTCCTCCCCCCCTTCCACCTCCCCACCCCCTCCCCCAACCAGGTGGTGATAATCGCACTAGTCACCTTCACCATCTGGCTGATTATAGGGTACACCGGAGCGTTACCCTCGTCGTGGTTACCTCAGGGGATGACCTATTTCGAGCTGGCCCTCCAGTTCGGCATATCCGTACTCGTTATAGCGTGCCCCTGTGCGCTGGGACTCGCTACACCCACTGCTGTGATGGTGGCGACAGGAATCGGCGCGCGGCAGGGCATTCTCATAAAAGGGGCTGATGCTTTGGAGAGGGCACACGAGGTGAGCGGAAATTAAGCTTGATGGGATAGGCATTACCTTCTCATAAGCATACCTTCTCATAAGCATACCTTCTCATAAGCATACCTTCTCATAGGCATTACCTTCTCATAGGCATTACCTTCTCATAGGCATTACCTTCTCATAGGCATACCTTCTCATAAGCATACCTTCTCATAAGCATACCTTCTCATAAGCATACCTTCTCATAAGCATACCTTCTCATAAGCATACCTTCTCATAAGCATACCTTCTCATAAGCATACCTTCTCATAAGCATACCTTCTCATAAGCATACCTTCTCATAAGCATACCTTCTCATAAGCATACCTTCTCATAAGCATACCTTCTCATAAGCATACCTTCTCATAAGCATACCTTCTCATAAGCATACCTTCTCATAGGCATACCTTCTCATAAGCATACCTTCTCATAAGCATACCTTCTCATAAGCATACCTTCTCATAAGCATACCTTCTCATAAGCATACCTTCTCATAAGCATACCTTCTCATAAGCATACCTTCTCATAAGCATACCTTCTCATAAGCATACCTTCTCATAAGCATACCTTCTCATAAGCATACCTTCTCATAAGCATACCTTCTCATAAGCATACCTTCTCATAAGCATACCTTCTCATAAGCATACCTTCTCATAAGCATACCTTCTCATAAGCATACCTTCTCATAAGCATACCTTCTCATAAGCATACCTTCTCATAAGCATACCTTCTCATAAGCATACCTTCCCATAAGCATACCTTCCCATAGGCATACCTTCCCATAGGCATACCTTCCCATAGGCATACCTTCCCATAGGCATACCTTCCCATAGGCATACCTTCCCATAGGCATACCTTCCCATAGGCATACCTTCCCATAGGCATACCTTCCCATAGGCATACCTTCCCATAGGCATACCTTCCCATAGGCATACCTTCCCATAGGCATACCTTCCCATAGGCATACCTTCCCATAGGCATACCTTCCCATAGGCATACCTTCCCATAGGCATACCTTCCCATAGGCATACCTTCCCATAGGCATACCTTCCCATAGGCATACCTTCCCATAGGCATACCTTCCCATAGGCATACCTTCCCATAGGCATACCTTCCCATAGGCATACCTTCTCATAAGCATACCTTCTCATAAGCATACCTTCTCATAAGCATACCTTCTCATAAGCATACCTCTCATAAGCATACCTTCTCATAAGCATACCTTCCCATAGGCATACCTTCCCATAGGCATACCTTCCCATAGGCATACCTTCCCATAGGCATACCTTCCCATAAGCATACCTTCTCATAAGCATACCTTCCCATAGGCATACCTTCCCATAGGCATACCTTCCCATAGGCATACCTTCCCATAGGCATACCTTCCCATAGGCACATGGGAAGGGCTCAGCGTCCCTTCTTGTTCTCTCTTCTCCTCGTCTCATCTCACCGTGTAATGCTGTAGCATCCCCTTCTCTTCAAGTGTTCCCCAAGTACTCTCAGATTGAAACGGCGGTGTTTGACAAGACACAGGCACTCTCACTCAAGGAAGGCCTATTGCCACCTCCTGCACTCTCTTCTCCTTTCAACCTTTGCTCCCTGCCCGCCCTTGTATCATTTCTCTACCTGTGTGTGTATGCTCTCAGATCGAGACAGTGGTGTTTGACAAGACAGGCACTCTCACTCAAGGCAGGCCCAGCGTCACTTCCTGCACTCTCTTCTCCTCCCGGGTCTCGCAGTCAGAGCTGCTCGCTATCCTGGCTGCTGCTGAGGTAGGCATACGCACAGACAAGCACGCACACCATGCGTGCATGCACACAGACAAGCACACATATCTCACACAGGCATGTATGCATGCACACCATGCAGGCATGCACACCATGCACGCATGCACACCATGCACGCACTCGTCTCGCAGTTGGAGCTCCATGCTATCCTGGCTGCTGCTGAGGTATGGGAGTGGGGGAAACAGGGTGTGGGTAAGGGAGTGAGGGGGAAGGGGATGGGCAGGCCGATAGTCACCTCTCACCTCGTGCTCCCTTTTTGAGAATTCTCAAAAACCTTCTCCCCATCGCTGTTTGTAGCACCTTGAGTCGTAATCGAGGTGACCTTTGAGTCGACTCATAAGGCAGTTGGAGCACCTTGAGTCATAATCGAAGGGCCGCAGTAGGCGTGAGGGAGTGGGGGAAAGGGGATGGGCAGGCCGATAGTCACCCCTCACCCCATGCCCCCCGTCGCAGTTGGAGCTTCTAGCTATCCAAGCCGCTACTGATGTCTGGAGGCCAGCAGACACATGCACACATAGAAACATCCCCCGACGCCCTGCAAACACCCGCAACCCTCCTCATCCCCTTCCTAGTCCCCCATTTCCGCCCCCTTTCCCCCTGTTGCAGGTTAGCAGCGAGCATCCTTTAGCCAAGGCAATAGTGGACTATTGCCTCTCCTCCCCGCACATGCCCAGGACCTTTTCCCCATGCTCAAGAGTTTCACTCACTCTCCCTCTTCCTCTCCCTCTTCCTCTCCCTCATCCTCTCCCTCCCGCCCCCTTTCCCCCTGTTGCAGGTTAGCAGCGAGCATCCTTTAGCCAAGGCAATAGTGGACTATTGCCTCTCCTCCCCGCACATGCCCAGGACCTTCCCCAACCTCTCCCACATTCCCTTCCCCTCCTCCTCCCCACCCTCTTCCTCGCCACCTTCCTCCTCTCCCGAATCTCTTCGTGCTCTCCCCTTCTCCTTCCCCCTCCCCTCCTCCACCTCACCTCTCCCCCACTCCCCAGCTCTTCTCCCGTCTCCCTCACCCCTCCACCGCTACTCTCCCTCCCCATTGTCCTCCCTCCATCCTTCCCCCCATCATTCCACATCCCCCCCATCCTCTAACTCATCTCTTCACTCCACGCCCAATCACCCTACCACCGCCACCACCGGCGACATTTCTTCCCAAGACACCTCTCCTTCCAAGAAGCTTCTGCACACTCTCCCTCCTGCCGAGAGCTTCGAGGCAATAGCGGGGCACGGCGTGGTGTGCCGAATCAACGGGCGCCACGTGGCAGTGGGGAATCTGAAGCTCATGCGGACCAGGACCATTGTCATGTGCAATGCACCGGCGCCGATCGCAGAAGGGGAGAACAGATCACAGGAGGAGATTACAGGCACTGTCACTGATGCTGCTGATGCCACCGCTACTGCCAACAGCAGCACCGTCAACAGCAGCAGCAGCAGCAGCAACGCCACCACAGACCCCTCCCTCCCTCCTCTCCCTCGCGGCGTCCTCGAATGGCTGGCAGAAACCGAAGCAGGCGCCGAAACCGACGTGCTCATAGCCCTCGACGGCCACGTGATAGGCGGCGTGTCTGTCTCCGACCCAGTCAAGCCGGAAGCAGCAGCCGTGGTGGGGATCCTTCAGTCCATGGGCATGCGCACGGTCATGGTTACAGGAGACAACTGGGGATCCGGCAGGGCTGTGGGGCGAGCGGTGGGGATAGAGGGAGACGATGTGGTTGCAGAGGCTTTACCCGCGGATAAAGCCGCGTTTGTGAGGAAGGTGCAGGGGGAGGGGAAGCAGGTGGCAATGGTGGGAGACGGGGTGAATGATTCGCCTGCGCTGGTAGCTGCTGATGTCGGGATTGCGATTGGTGCGGGGACGGATATTGCTATAGAGGCGGCGGATATTGTCCTCATGCGCTCGTGTCTCGAAGACGTCGCGACAGCCATTGATCTCGCGCGGACCGCGCTTCGACGGATCAGATTGAACTACGTCTGGGCGTTCGGGTATAACATCACGGGTATCCCCATCGCGGCGGGGGTACTCTTCCCAACCGCCCTCCGGTTCCGCCTCCCCCCGTGGGTGGCTGGGGCTGCAATGGCTCTATCCTCAGTGAGTGTGGTGTGCTCGTCTCTGCTGCTACGACTCTACAGGAGGCCCAGGAAGCTGGACCTGATCAAGCTGGAGGTGCAGCAGTAGGGGTGACTGAGATGCTCATTTGACCCCTACTGGAGGAGAATTCCCCTATGGGTGGGTTGCTGCTGGTGCAGCAATGGCCCTATCCTCTGTGAGTGTGGTGTGCTCCTCTGCTGCTACGCCTCTACAGGAGGCCAAGGAAACTTGACTTGATCAAGCTGGAGGTGCAGCAGTAGGAATTGGAGCTGTTGCTTTCATCTCCAATGCGGAAAAGAGGGGGAGTCTGGGGGTTTTCGATTATTCACCTAACGAGTCAGATTGTGAAGGAGGCCAAGAGAACTTGACCTGAGCAAGCTGGGTGTGGAGCATTGGTTGGGAGGAGTGGTGTGTGATAACCTCTAGCAGGGAAAGTAGGGAGAGGCAGGGGAGGGGAGGGGAGGAAGGGGGTGTAGAAGGGGGGTTGGAAGCATCCAGGGGGTGTTGTTGTTGGCTCTACAGGAAGCCAGGGAAGCTTGACTCTCTGTCGCTGTCGGGCTTGGCTCAACTCAACTCCCTTCTTCCCATTCTCAAGAGCATTGAGAGAGCTGGTTGGGCTGGGTGCAGAGTCTTTAGTGAGGGATTTTTGTGAGGTTTGGCTAGGTTTGTCTAGATGTACCCTATGCCCCTTCTATTTCTCAGTAGATTTATAGGTCGGGGAATAAGGGCTAGTGTCATTTATATCATGTGGTCTTACTGTGCGTAATATGTATCACGTTCATGTATGCTCTTATTGTGTGATATTGTGTTAATGTGATGGTAGCTCAGTAACTGGACTACTTGTGGATTAAAGAAGTGGGGTGCTTGTCAATTAGCTCAGAAATCTTCAGCCTGACAAATTATGTATTCTTGGTAATACTGGTCTGACTTATAGAGAGTACAATTCGTATGCCACTAGAAATAGCACCAGCAAGCAACTAGACAAGTCTCCAATGGCAAAACACCATACCCTGACCTCCAGCACACCCTCAGTCTCATTATCTGATACCGTAGGTATTACCGTACATACCGTACCTGTAGCACATGGATGTTATGTTACGTACCTTCATGCACGGTACGAGGTGACTTTTAAGTCGACTCGACTCATCATAAGTCGCTCCACAAGGGCAGGCTGGTGGTAGTGGGCCAATGGCCTAGCACCTTGAGCCTGCCCCTTCCCATCCCTTTGCTTCATTGCATCGCAACGCATTGCATCGCACCGAAACACCCACCGCTTCTATTCTACTTCACAGCTTTGCCAGCCTTTATGGCTGATGGCTGACATGACATGACAATCCACGATGATCGATGATGGCTGATAGCCTTGGTGTTATTTGCGCAAGGCATGGCACTGCAATGCGAACCCCACCAAGCCCACTGCTTCTGCCTCTCCTTCATTAGCAGTCGACTTGATGTTATTAGCGCTGGGTGTGGGAACAAAGTCAGCAGCAGCATCCCCACACCCCATTCCCCTCCCCCCCATCCCACTTGACCGCACTGCACCGCAACGCAAACCTCACCCATTCTGTCACTGCTTCTGCCCTGCCGTGGTAGCGGACGGCTTGATGTTATTAGCACTGGGGGTGGGAAGGAACAGAGTCTGCAGCACCCATCCACACCACCCCTTCATCGAACTGCACCACACCACACCACACCACACCACACCACACCACACCACACCGCACTGCAATGCAAACCCCACCCCTCCCTTCACTGCTTCTGCCTCGCCTTGGCCGACTGATTGAGGTTATTACCTCCCAGGGTAGGCATAGCCCATCCAGCCCGCCTCTTTGCCCGTCTCTTTGCCCGCGTCTTGCCAGCATCCCCACACCCCATCCCCTTCACTGCTTCTGCCTCGCCTTGATGGCCGACGGCTTGAGGTTATTAGAGCCCGGGGTGGGCATGGCCCAGCCAGCCCGTCTCTTGGCCGCATCAGCACGCGCGTCGTCCCTCTCTCTCTCCATCGTCTCCGCCTGCCCCTGTGCTTCCAGAAGTGCCACTTCTAGCAGCTGCTTCTCTCCCTCCAGTCCTTCAAGCCTGGGGTTATGATACGCAAAGGGGGAGAAGGGGGAACACGGGGAAAGAAGGTGGGCATAAGTTTTCGTCCCTCTCTCTCTCCATCGTCTCCGCCTGCCCCTGTGCTTCCAGCAGTGCCACTTCCAGCAGCTGCTTCTCTCCCTCCAGCCTTCAAGCCTGGGGTATGGGTGGTGGAGGGTAGGGGGGAGGGAGGAGGGGGGAAGGGTGATGACTTTTGAGGCGCCTCAATAGCAAGGGCTAATGGGATGGGAAGAGGGGAGAGGGGGGCAGAGGGGTGAGGGCGTGAGCGAGCCTATGAAATCGACAAGCACACATGTTGGTTGTACTGTCTCTTTTGAGGCGCCTCGAAACTTTTGAGGCGACTTCCGAGGCACCTAAAAATTCGACATGCATAGACGTTGGTTTGTACCGTTGAATGCACAGAAGGCACAGTTGAAAGGAAACAGCTGTTGTGTCCCTTGTCCCTTCCAGCCGTTTCTCTCTCACCGAGACTCCAAGCAAGGGTGATGCGGTGTGATGCGCCGCCAGTGCCAGGGTGTGTTCAAAGTGCCTTGCAATGAAAGAGCAGTGTGGTAAAGCATGGTGTGAAGTGCGGTGAAAAGTGGCGTGGGTGAGAGAATAGCTGTGCAAAGCGGTGGCAAGCGGTGCCAAGTGATGAAGCGGTGTGCTCACCTCCTCATAGCCTCCTCCAAATTGGCATTCCCTGCTTGTAGGGATGATACGAGTTGAGAAATCTGAAAAGACGAGGAGATGGGGTGCAGAAACACGGGCAGGTAACCATGATCATTAAGGCAGAGGAAGAAAGACCGCTTGTAAGGATGACACGAGCTGAGAAATCTGAGCAGGTGAGGGGATGGGGAGGGGGGTCGAGGGACAACTTTTGAGACGTCTCAAAACTCCTCCAAATTGGCATTCCCTGCTTGTAGGGATGATACGAGCTGAGAAATCTGAAAAGGCGAGGGGATGGGGGGGGTCGAGGGACAAAAGCAGGAAGAGACGGGAAGTGAGAGAGAGAGAGGAGGAGAAGAGTGAGAGAGAGGAGATGGGGAGTGAGAGAGAGGAGGAGATGGGGAGTGAGAGAATGGAGGGGAGCAAGGGGGTGGCATCCTGTGCTTGTGGTGATTCACTGAGCTGAGCAAGCTGATAGTACGAGGGCATAAAGAGATTGGGGGGCGGAAGTAGGGTTGAGAATTCTCAGAAAGGGCATTTCTGAGAATTCTCAAAAAGGGTATTTCTGAGAATTCTCAAAAAGGTTATCTTTAAAATTCCAAAACATACCCTGCAAGCTGAAAGTACGAGGGAATAGGGGAACAGAAGCAGGAGGGGATGGGAGGATCGGCGACAGATCGAGGGGAGTGGGGAACAAGGTAAGTGAGAGAGGGGAACATGCCTGTCACGCCCGTTCACACTCCCATCTTCTCACACCCACCCCATTACGCCCACCCTTTTACACCCATTCCCTCACACCCACCCACCCACAACCACAACCACTCCCCCTCCCATTTCCCCACACGGCCACAGCCGCCCCACCTGGTTGTCCCTGCCAGCGATCATCCTCTTGGCCTGCTTGCTTGCCAGTGCTTGTCATGAAGAAGAGCAGCAGTAGGGAGGGATCATCACCCACAATCAACCCACCTGGTTGTCCCTGCCAGCAATCATCCGCTTGGCCTGCTCGCTCGCCTCGCTGCTCTGCTCCTCCAGCTTCTTCAGCTCCTCCTCCTTCACCGTCAGCACCACCTCCAGCATGCGAATGCGGTCCCTCGCCTCCTGTGGTTGTGAGCGGCGGGGGGCACAAGGGACGGAGGCAGCAGCAAGGGGAGAATGGGAGAGAGAGGAGGGGCTCGAGGCAGCTCCAAGGGAGGCTGCTCTTCTTATCCTCCTCCTCCATCGTCAGCACCACATCCAGCATGCGAATGCGATCCCTCGCTTCCTGTGGTGGTGGTGGGTGAGGGGACACAAGGGAAGGGAGGCTGATCTTCTTATCCTCCTCCTCCATCGTCAGAACCACATTCAAGATGCGAATGCGGAGAGTAGCAAGGTATAGTTGTGAAAAGAGGCAGAGTTAGTAGTGAATTTTCAAACAGGAATTCACCCCATACCCCATATAGACCTACCCTATAGAACTCTACCCCTTACAAATCTACTGACTTTTCTTACCTTCAGAGCAACAGTAGCCAGGTTAAGCTGTGACGACAGCTCAGCAATCTGCCCCGCGCGCACCGACAGCTCCTGATTCGCCAGCGCCAGCTCAGCGCGCCGCTCCGCCAGGTCAGCCTCCACCGCGCAAAGCTTCCCGGCAAGTTCCTCCCTCTGCCGCTCTGTCTCTGCCAGCCGGCCCTCCAGCTGCTGCTTCTCCCCCCTGACAGCTGTCAAGCTCTCATTGGTGGACTGGGTTGGGGGGTGGGTGCGGGAGGGAAGGGAGGGTGGGAGGGGAGGACGGGATGGGAGGACGGGATGGGAGGACGGGATGGGAGGACGGGAGGGGGGGACGGGAGGGGGGGACGGGAGGGGGGGACGGGAGGGGGGGACGGGAGGGGGGGACGGGAGGGGGGGACGGAAAGGGGGGACGGGAGGGGGGGATGGGATGAGAGGACAGAGGGTTTGGCGAGTTGGTAGTGTTGTCGGCACAGAGAGAGAGAGACACACACATAATCTCATGCATACACACACCTTCAGCTCTTCCCCTGTGCTTGCCAGCTGCCCTTCAACCTCCTCCAACCGCTCTCCACTCCTCCTCAACTCCTCCTCCCTCTCCCCCAGTCTCCCCTCAGTCTCCGCCAGCCGTTCCCGCGTCTCTTCCAATTGCCCCTTCGTCTGCCCGAGCTGCCCGTTGACCTCTTCCAGCTGCCCCTCAGCCTTCCGCAGCTGCCCCTGACTCTCCTCCAGCTGCCCCTGCGTGCTCCCCAGCAGCCCTTCTAGCCGGTCCAGCTCCTTCAACGCTCCTCTCAACTCCCCTGCTGCTTCCTGGTGGCGCCTAGTAGCACTCTCCAGCGACTGCTGGGTGGTCTGGGGGAATGGGAGAGGCGGGAGAGAGAGACAGAGAGAGAGAGGGAGAGAGCAGTTGAGGGAAAAAGGAAAAAATACGAGACTCAGCTCGCCTGCTGCCTCTTGGTGGCGCCTAGTAGCACTCTCCAGCGACTGCTGGGTGGTCTGCGGAGGGAGGGAGAAACGGGGAGAGGAGGAGGAGGGAGAGTGAGATAAGGGATGGAGAGTTCAGAAGGGTGTTGACACGAGACAGAGAACGAGCCCCAGCTGGCCCTCCTGAGTGCTCTGCTCCCCAGCAGCCCTTCTAACCGGTCCAGCTCCTTCAACGCTCCTCTCAGCAGCTCGCCTGCTGCCTCCTGGTGGCGCCTAGTAGCACTCTCCAGCGACTGCTGGGTGGTCTGGTGGGGGAAGGGAGAGGAGGGACAGAGACATACAAGGAGAGAGAAGAGAGGAGAGAAACAAAGGGGATTTGAATAGAGAGAAAGAAGAGGGTACTGCGGGTGGGGTATGGAGGCCTGGGATATCGTGGGGTGGGGCTGAGGTGGTGACAGAGTGAATGAGGCAAAAGCCCTTGTGACTGAGTAGGCAGTTGGTGAATGAGTGGGAAGGTGGACAGGAAAGCTAGCAGCCATTCCTGCAGTTGCTGTTGAAGCTTCTCCACCTGCTCCTTGTGTGAAAGGAGCACGAGCGACGTGGGTGGGGATGATTCCGTTGGGGGAGACGGCCTCAGAAGGAAGACGTACCTGCAGTTGCTGTTGAAGCTTCTCCACCTGCTCCTTGTGTGATGCCTCCATCTGCTTCTTCTCCTGGACACACACGAGAAAGGGGAAGGAAAATCAGCGTGAGATGCAAGCAAAACGAGCGTGCGAACTTGCGCCAGCAAATTACCGCCATCGGCACTCTGGCGGAGCCTAGGACCACGGAACCAACCATGTTTGAGGCGGCTCCTCTCCTTTCCTCTCCTCCCCTCTCCTCTACTCCCCCCCCCCCCCCCAAAAAAAAAAAATCCCTCACCTCTGCGCTCTTCTCTTCCAGTGCCACTAGCTTCCCCTCCGTCTTATCCAGTGCAGCAGCCAGCTTCGCACTGGCAGCCACAGCATCATGCAGGCTGCGCCGCACGTCCTCCCCCTCCCTCTCCAGCCGGTCTTTTTCCGCTGCTAAGTCACGAACCTATGGGATTTGAACGAGGGTGGGGGATGGAAGAGGGAAAGTCAGGGACAGGACAGTGGGGACGTGGTCTTGAATCTTGACTCTTGAACCTGGCAGCTACTGCATCATACAGGCTGCGCCGCACGTCCTCCCCCTCCCTCTCCAGACGATCACGCTCTGCTGCCAAGTCACGCATCTAGAGGGAACAGGGGCGGGCGGGCGGGAGCAAGACAATCGTGTATGTAACAGGAGCTGAGAGGTCACACACATGCCTGGTGAGGCCACTCAGAGTGACACACCTAAAGTGACTTGGTGATGCTATGCGTGAAATCACTTTTGAGAAATCTCAAAAGTGATATCAGTGATGCTATGCGTGAATGGTGGGTGATCCAGTGATGGAGCGGTGACCTTGAATTGGTGATGGTGATGACGGTGGTGACGATTGGCAGTACCTAGTGCACATACCTTGGCGGCGGCGCCTCAAAAGTCGCCTAAAGGAGCCCCAGGTTGGAGCCATCTCTTTACGTGGCAGCGACTTGTTTAGTTAAAAAGTAGAAAGTTGTTTGCTTGAACAGACTTTGTGAAAAAGTTGATGGTGATGACGGTGGTGACGATTGGCAGTACCTAGTGCACATACCTTGGCGGCGCCTCAAAAGTCGCCTAAAAAATGGCTTTTGAGGCGCCTAAGAAGTGGCAGTACCCAGTGTTTGCTTCAATGAACTCAATAAACGTACCTTGGCTCTGCTTGCTTCAAGATCCCTCTCCACTCCCTGAAGCTTCCTCCTCACTTCCTCTCGCTCCCCCTCCGCCTTCACCCTCCCCTTCTCCTCCTCCTCCCGCTCCACCCTCACTCTCCTCACCTCATCCCGCACTCCCTCCACTTCCCTCCTCCTCTCCTCAATCTCCCTCCTCTTCTCCTCCACAGACTCCCTCAAACCCACCAGCACCCCTTCCTTCGCCTCTAGTTTCTCAATCAGCCCACACACCCTCTTCTCACTCGCCTTCTCCCTCTCCTCCATCTCCTGAAGCTGCTTCTGCGTAGCATCCCTCCCTCTCCTCACCTCCTCAACCTCCCCTTCCAGCTCCCTCACTCTCTCCCCCAACTCCTCCTCTCTCCTCTCAAGCCCCCTTCTCCTCTCCTCCAATTCCGCCACCCTCCCCTCCTCCTCCTCCACTCTCCTCCTCATCTTCCCAACCTCCTCCTCCAAACTTCCTATCCTCGTTTTAAGCCCCCCCTCTACCTCCTTCCGTTTCTCCTCCAGTGCTCGTAACTCGTCAACCTTACTTAAATACTTCCCCTCCATTTCCTTCCTCCTCTCCTCCATCTCTCTTACCAACTCCTCCATCTTTTTATCTTTTTCATCAACCCTCCCTTCCAATACAATGACCTTCTTTTCCCTCTCCACTTTTTGCCGAACCTCCTCCGCCAGCTTCCTGGCAACTTCCTCCAGCTCCCCAACCTTCTCCCGAACCTCCTGCTGCGCAACCCTCACCTCCTCCCGAGCCTCCAGCAAGTGCGTCTCCGCCTCCTCCACCCTCCTCTTCCACGACCGCCGTTCCTCCTCCCACCGAGCCTTCGCCTCAGCCTCGGCAGCTTTGGCTCGGCTCTTTTCCCCCTCAACCCTCTCCTCCGCCTCCCTCACTCTCTCCTTCCACTCCGCCACCAACTCCGGAAGCTTCTGGTTCCTCTGCAAATCCAGCTCCCTCTCCTTCTCCCCAACCGCCCGCTCCAAATCCCCAATCACCCTATCCCTCTCCTCCAATTTCTTCTTAATTTCTTCCATCATCCTCTCCCTCTCCTCCACCTGCCGAACGATCTTCCTCATCCCATCCTCCACCCCTCTCTCCAACTCCTTGATCACTCTCTCTCTCTCCTCCACTTGCCCCTCCAACGCCTTTACCTTCAACTTCCCTTCATCTACAGCCTCTTCCAAATCCTTAACCAGTTTCTCCGCCTCTTCTATCTCCTTTTCTAGCTCAGCAACCCTCTTGCTCTTCTCCTCCGCACTCCCTGCCACACTCCCCCTCTCCTTCAGCTTCATCTCCAGCTCTTCCACTCTCCTCTTCATCTCTTCTTCCACTTCCTCTGTGCGTCTCTTGCACTCTCCCTCTACCTCCTCTACCCACTTCCTTGCTTCGTCCTCTAGATCTCGCACCCTCTTCACCTCCTTTTCCATTTCTTCCATTGCCTTTTTACTCTCCCCTACCTTCTCTTCTGCTTTGACCGCCTTTGCTTCTGCTGCTCCTGCCTTCTCCTCTGCTTCTCTTATCTTGACCTCCATCTCCCTCTCTCTCTCCTTCCACGCACCCCCTTCTTTCTGAATCTCCCTCACTCTCTCTTCCTCCACTCTCAACTTCCCTTCCACATCCCGCACTCTCTCTTCTCCCTCCCTCACTCTCTCCTCCAGTTCCCTCACTCTCTCCTCCAACTCCCTCACTCTCTCCCCCCTCTCTCTCACTCTCTCTTCCAACTCCCTCACTCTCCTCGCCTCCTCCTCCCTCTCTCTCTCCTTCCTCTGAACCTCCACCTCCCTCTCCTCCCACCTCCTCTTCACGCTCTCTCCCACCTCCCTCGCTCCCTTAGTTTCCATCTCCATCTCTTCCAACCGCCTCCTACCCCTCATAACCTCCGACTCCAACTCCTGAATCCTCCCCTCCTTCTCCCTCACTCTCCTCTCCCACTCCTCCGCCTTCCTCCTCCCCTCCTCCACACCCCTCTCCAACTCCCCCACTCTCCTCCTCGCCTCATCCCGTCCCTTCCTCACCCCCTCCCCTTCCTCTTCCCGTCTCTTCACCTCCTCTTCCCTCCTCTTCACCTCCTCCCTAAGCTCCTTACAAACAGCTTCCGACTCAACACTCTGCTGTCTCAGCTTCCCTTCCAAATCCCTCACTCTGCTCTGCATGACCAGAAACTGCCCTTCTATATCCGCTGCCCTATCCTCTGCATCATCCAAAGCACTTTCCGCTTCCTTCTTCTCCTTTTCCAGCCCTTTCACCCTCTCCTCCCACTCCCTCACTTGCTCTTCCATCCTCGCAGCTTGCTTCTCTGCTTCCTCCCTACGCCCTTCCGCTTCTCGCACACTCCCTTCAGCCTCCCTCACTCTCCCTTCCGCCTCTCTCACTCTCTCCTCCGCCTCCCTCACTCTCCCCTCTGATTCCCTCACTCTCTCCTCACTCTCAGTCCTTTCCTTCTCCGCCCTCCTCCTCTCCTCCTCCGCCTCCCTTCCCTTCTCCTCCACCTCCTTCCTCCTCTCCTCCATCTCCTTCTCCATCTCCCCCACCTTCTTATCCCTCTTATCAGCTGCTTCGATTCTCTGCATAAGAGCCAATTCCTTGGCTTCTATCTTTCTCTCTGCATCCGCCTTAGCAGCCATTGCCTGGAGCTTCGCATCGTTGGCCGCTAGAGCCTGGTAGAAAGGGGTGAACAGGTGTGGGAAGGTGTGGAAAGGTGTGGAAAGTTGAATGATAAAAAGGGGTGGGAAGGAGTTCCGTTACAAAGCCCCCTCTTTGTCTCCACTTCCCCAATGTGCTGAAAGCACAGCTCCACCATACAAGGAGCTTCCCCTCCCTCCCCTTTATACACACAGATTCCCACATCCTCAAACTCCTATTCTCTCCCCCGCTTTTCAATTGCGTCTGTACCAACACCACCACCATCCACCACTCACAATGCTCCTCCCACCGCTCACAATCACTCACCATCGCTTCCAGCTCCTGCACTCGCCGCAAAGACGCTGCCTCTGTCTCGGCGCGCAGCCCCCTCTCGGCGTCCACCTGCTCCATGAGCTGAAAGCGCAGCTCCGCCATCTCCTGTGTCAACTCCTCCGCCTCCTCCGCTGCTCGTTCCCTCTCCCGCACCAGCTGGGTCTGGGGGGGGGTCGGGGGTAGGGAATATGGGGTGATTCGGGAGGAGGAAGAGGGGATTTGGGAGGATGTGGAGGGATTCGGGGCGTTCTGGAGGGGCTGGGGGCATTCGGGGGGGTTCGGGGGACGAATGGAACGGGGGAGAGGGGTGGCAGTTGGTGGGAAGGGGAGAAGAGGAGAGGAGAGCCGCCTCTCTGCCTGCGTCCACCTGCTCCATGAGCTGAAAGCGCAGCTCCGCCATCTCCTGTGTCAACTCCTCCGCTGCTCGCTCCCTCTCCCGCACTAACTGGGTCTGAGGGGGTTCGAAGAGTGGGGTTTTTTGGGGCAGGAAGCAGGGATTTGGGGTGATGATATGGGAGGGATTATCTGAAAGGGGCCTGCACTCATCTCCTGCATTTCACTCTCTAGAACATGCCCATCCTCTCATCTTCCTATACTGCTCTCAACCGCACTGCACCCAGGCAGCAGGGAAGGGGATTGATTACCTGCAGGGCGTTGACCTGCCCCTGTAAGACACTGAGCGTCTGCTGCTCCCCGTGCGTGCCCGCACTCATCTCCTGCATCGCACTCTTGAGCACATGCCCGTCCTCCTCTGCTGCTCTCAGCTTCACCTCCAGCACCCTCACCCGCTCCTCCTGCTCTGCCCTCGCAGCCTGCATGGGAAACCAGCACAAACAGGTTCAGATGGGTGCAAATGAAATCAAAGGGGTTCAAATGGGTTCAAAATCTCCTCTGCTGCCTTCAGCTTCAACTCCACTCTCACCCGCTCCTCCTGCTCCGCCCTTGCAGCCTGCATGTGAACAAGTTGGGCCCGGGGGGGAGGGGGGGTTCCGGTGGGGTGGGGTATTGTGGGTTTGGGCCGGGCGGGATGGGATGGGATGGGGTGGACCCAGCAGCATGGTTGAGAGAAAGGAAAAGTCGCTGCATAGAGACGTTGCAAGGGAAAGGGGTTGAAGTGAATGGGGGAAGAGGGCAGGAGCGGGGCTGGCTTAGTGACATGCTGAGGCTGGAATGACTCAACACTGCTTGAAAAAAAGGAGCAGATGCAGGAAAAGATGGGCAGAAACAGAAACAGGGACAGTTATGGATACAGTACATGTACCTAACTGCCACCACCCACGAGCACACCCACACCCACACCCACACCCACACCCACACCCACACCCACACCCACACCCACACCCACACCCACACCCACACCCACACCCACACCCACACCCACACCCACACCCACACCCATCCCCCATCACCCATCCCCAATCCCTCAATGTCCATCCCCCATCCCTCAATATGCAATCCCCTCTCGCAATCCCTCATCCTCCATCCTCCATTCCCCCCTCAACCCACCCCCCCCTATCCCCTCCCTTCTCACATTAGCCTCCCTCAGAGCGCCTTCAGCTGCCTGTATCTTCTCCACCATCTCCCTCCTCTCCTCCCTCCACCTCTCCTCCCTCCCCTCTGCCTCCCTCCTCTCCTCCTCCTCCCTCCCCCTCACCTCCCCCAACTCCCTCCCCAGCCTCCCCACCTCCTCCCTCACTCTCTCCACCTCTCTTTCCAGCACCATCCTCAGACTCTCCGACTCTCGCAATCGCTCCACCAGATTCTCCATTCCCCCCCCAAGGGCGGCTGGGTCCATCTGCTGAAAGGCTGCTTCTGGGGCAGGCGAGCGCTGCACGTATGACGAAGCCTCGCCCATGTCTAGGAGAGTCTGCACGAATCCGCTGTCCCCACCGTCGCTGCTGGCAGAACCCGTGCTGAAGGGGTGCTGGGGAAGGGAGTAAGGGAAAGGGAACAAGGGAGCGAAACATGTAAGACGATGCCTCGCCCATGTTTAGCAAGGTCACTGTCCCCGCCGTCGCTGCTGGCAGGACCCGTGCTGAAGGGGTGCTGGGGAAGGGAAGAGGAAGAGGGGGAAGCGGGGAGGGGAAGGAGGCACGGGAAGAGAGGATGGGGAGGAGGTGGTGGGGAGGAAGCAGGGGGAGGGGAGAGAAGGGGGGAGGGATCGTGATGGGGGAAAGGTGGAAGAGCAGGAAGGGAAGGAAGGAGGACAAGGCAGCACGTAGGAGGACGCTTTTACCATGTCTAGGAGAGTCTGCACGAACCCACTGTCCCTGCCACCGCACTGAACTGCACGCTACCACACAGGATCGCACCGCACCGCACTGCACTGCACTGCACCACTCCACACGCCCTCGCCCACCCACTCACCTTGTTCCCTTCTCCTCCCACTCCCGCTGCACCCGCCATGCCTCCTTTTCCCCGGCCACCCTCCTCCTCCTCGTCGTCGTCCTCCTCTTCATCTGTGGCAATCGCCATCAGATCCACTGCTGCTGACCGCCCCGGGCCCCTGTGAGGCAATGAGGGAAGGGAACAGTGTTATAAGGGAACAGTGGGTGAGGGAGTGGAGAGAGAGGACGGGGAAGTGCGGGAGAACACTGTTAGAAGGCGTACCCTCCTCCTTATCATCTGTGGCAATCGCCATCAGATCCACTGCTGCTGTCTGCCACCGAACCCCTGGAAAGTAAGAGGAGGAGGAGGAGGCGGAGGAGGAGTCGAAAAGGAAGGCATCATCTCATCACCGAGCCCCTCGGACAGTAGGAGGACAGGCTATAAATCGCAGGTACGAATGGCGATCAAGTGCCGGGACGGGGGGAGTGAGTGGTGCAGTGGCGATGCGCAGCATCAGCTCAGCCGCACAGCTGCTGACTGCCAGCACGTGGGGCCGAGGTCTCAACCGGGACCTCGGTTTCTATAAGGCCAGACTTGAGACTCAACCTGGTGGGTCCCGCTTTTGAGGCACCTAAAGAAGGGGTAGCCAACCACCCAGCCACCCCTCCTGCCTCCTTGGCACTCACCCTTGTTGATCCCGCATCCAGCTGTCGGCCTCTGATTCGTCCATGCGCTCCAGAGAGAATCCGTCGGGGCCTCTGGTGGCTGCAGGGCGGGTGGGAGGCAGAGAAGGGAGAGGGGCGGGAGTAGAGGCGCAAGGTTGGGGGTGAGGGTGATACAGGCGCACAGATGGAAGAAGAGGCTTGGGTTGTGAGGTGATGTGTGATATGAGAAGAGAAGGGCATTGTCTGTCAGGGCCTCTGGTGACTGCAGGGTGGGTTGGAGGAGGAAGTGAGAGAGGAGGGGCAGGGCTGGTGACTGGTGAATTGGTTTTTGAGAATTCTCAAAAGGAAGCGAGAGAGGAGGGGCAGGGCTGGTGACTGGTGAGTTGTTTTTTAAGAATTCTCAAAAGGAAGCGAGAGAGGAGGGGCAGGGCTGGTGACTGGTGAATTGGTTTTTGAGAATTCTCAAAAGGAAGCGAGAGAGGAGGGGCAGGGCTGGTGACTGGTGAATTGGTTTTTGAGAATTCTCAAAAGGAAGCGAGAGAGGAGGGGCAGGGCTGGTGACTGGTGAATTGGTTTTTGAGAATTCTCAAAAGGAAGCGAGAGAGGAGGGGCAGGGCTGGTGACTGGTGAGTTGGTTTTTGAGAATTCTCAAAAGGAAGCGAGAGAGGAGGGGCAGGGCTGGTGACTGGTGAATGCAGCGTGGCTAGCTGATGAGGGAGAAGAGGCACGGGCAGCGACGAAATCGATTCTTGAGGCGTCTGAAAAAGACGCCCGGCGAAGGCGGGATATAGTACGGTGGGAGGCATTGCTCAAGCCAGTGGTGTGGTGACTGCAGGGTGGGTGGGTGGGTGGATGGAGCAAGCGAGAGAGGAGGGAGAACCACACACAGACACACCGAACAGCCCCATCCCTAATCCTTCCCTTTCCCACCCACCAGCACTGGGATGGCGGGAGGACGTGGGCGACATGTCGGGCGCCTGGAATTGCCTGTGCAGGTCGAAGCGAAGCAGGCAATGCACTGAACCACACCAAACCACACAGAGCCACTCCTACGCCTCACATATTCCCATCCCCACTCCCTCCTCCCTGTCCTTCGGCACCCACCAGCACTGGGGTGGCGGGAGGACGTGGGGGACATGTCGGGCGCCTGAAATTGCCTGTGCAGGTCGAAACGAAGGGCCTCTGATCGTGCCAGCTCCTCCCTCAGCCGAGTCACCTCCATCTGAGAACAAGGGTGGGAAGGGTAGATGCATGGCAGGAGAGGGGTGGGATAGAGAGGGGGGAATGGGGAGACGGTAACCGTGTGAGTGTGTGAAAGCGAAGGGCCTCTGACCATGCCAGCTCCTCCCGCAACCGAGTCACCTCCATGTGGATGCAGCGCAGCAGCGGAAGAGAAGTGGTGGGTAAGGGGAGTGGGGAGGGACAGATAGATAGAAAGATGCATGAGTGTGTGAAACTAGAGAGCCTCTGACCGTGCTAGCTGCTCCCGGATAGATGCAATGCAACCACGTCATCTCCATCCCGGAACAGCAGTGGGAGTGGTGAGTAACGGGGAGGAGGGGAGGAGGAAAGTGCAAGCGCATGGATGGAGTAACGGGGTATGGAGGGGGTAACCATGTGAGTGCATGCAAGCGCATACGGGGGGGGAACAATGTGGCGCATCCTCCTCTTCGTTCAACATCCGCCAAAGCGAATAGGCACGTTCTTTCCCCGCCCTCCTCCCATCATCCCCATCCCCTTTCAGTCCTCCCATCATCCCCATCCCCTTTCAGTCCTCCCACCTGCAAGCAGCCTTCCCCCCCCCTCCAGCAACCTCACCTACAGCGCGTACCTTCCCTACAACCCCGTTCCCCCCCCACCACCTCCCCCACCCCCACCTGCAGCGCGGGGACGTCCTCTTCGTCCAGCTCCGCCAGCCGCTCCTCCAGCGCCTCCACCTTGTTGCTCAGCTGCACCGCCTCGCGCGCCTTCTCCTGCGCCTTGCGCTTCCACTCGTCTGGCGCGGGGAGGGTGGGGCACGCGGGGAGGGTGGGGCACGCGGGGAGGGTGAGGCACGCGGGGAGGGCAGGGAAGGAGGGAAGGACAGATCAGGTGAACACACAGCAGGTGCTTCCCCCATCGCTACCCTTTCTCTCCTCCTTCTCCCCCGTCACTCCCCCCCTCGTCTCCCCGTTTTCTCTTTCCCCATTACCACCCGCCTTCCTCTCCCCTTCTCCTCTTCCCCCCTTCCTCTCTCCAACCCTCCTCTCCCATCCTCCTCTCCCCCCTTTTTCTCCCCCCCTTTTCTCCCCTCCTCCTTTCCCCCTTTCCTCTCCTCCCCGCTTCCCCCCATTCCACTACCACTTCCTTCCTCTTCCCCCTTCCCACATCCTCCCCCCTTTACCGCATCGCGCAGTGACGGCCAACAGTTGCGCATCCGCCTCCGCCAGCTTCTCCTGCAGCGCCTGGAACTGCTCGTCCTGCGCGCGCGCGGAAGGGGGACGGGGAGTGGCGCGCGGAAAGGCCGGCGGGAGAGCGGCGCGCGGAAAGGGGAGAGGGAGGGCGAAGGAGGGTAATGGCGCGCGGAAATGCGGGCGGGGGAAAGGAGGGGGGAAGGGTGTTGGAGGGGGAAGGGGGTGGCGAAGAAAAGGGAAAGGGAGGGGGATCGGGAGAGTGGTGGGGAGAGACAGGGGGGAAGGGAGCGGGGAGTGGGGAGGGGGAGGCGAGGGCAGCAGTGTGAGTTAAGTCGCGAGAACAGATCCCTTTTTTCCGGGGAGCGCCGGTGGATTTGCTCGTCCCGCGGAGGGGGAGCGGGGCGGAAAGGAACGGAAAGGGAAGGGAAGGGGGAGGGAACGGGAGGGGAGGGGGGGGAAGAGGTGGGGGGGAGAAGAGGAAAGGGGGAAGGAGGTGGAGGTGGAGTCCGCGCCGTCGAAAATGCAATCCACCATTACAGTAGCTCGTGACCGTAGCAGTCTATCACCTTGGCACACATAATGGAATCAATCCGATTCCTCGATCCGAGCGATCCGATGCGTATAACTGCTAATGTTAATTACTAACACCTTAACCCTTACGAGCTCCAGACCAGGGAACACTGATTATACTAATTATCAACAACAACAATGATGATGTAAGAGGGAGAGAGAAAAACGATGAGTCATATAACGGGGCCTGACGTGGGTGTTTCAGACAGGAAAGGCCTAAGGATTTGCAGACCAATGCAACGTGGCAGCCACGCAGACGTTCTAGGGCAGGGTGTTTGCAGATTTGCAAGGCGAACGGACTCGCTTCTAGATTAGAGACGTATCTTGGAGCCAATGCGTGCAAGGAAGCGTCTCAGAAGTTTCTTGAGAATAACGGCGAGATTCTCGTATTGGAGACCTAAGCGCCTTGCTGTTGCAAGCTTGTGCCAATCTCCCTCGCAGGTTCTACTGCGGAAAATGCGGCCTCGTGAAAACCTCGGGGGGCCAAGCGTGGGCGGCGCGGAAGTACTGACCGATGTGTCATCTTTGTAGACGTCCGTCAGCCAGGATGGGACGGAGTCGCCTCGCGAAGACGACGACATTCTGACGGAGGAACGGCGCGCTGCCACGTCCCTCCACTAGGTTCGACGACGAACGGACGAATCGCGGGTATACTACCTATAAGGGATCCCTCCATCTGATGACCTCGCCATCGCGATTGCATGCACGAAGCTACGACAATGTGAGAACTTCTATATGGCTCGCTGCTGTTTTTGATTGTTGGATTCAATCCAGGCTGATATTTGTGTGGTGCTGTGTGGCGCCAAGGTGTTTCTGTGCGTTACAAAAGTCATCCTTAGACTGGTGGTAGAGTATGGGTGTGATGGGAGAATTTGGCGGAACAAGGTTGACGAGGGAAACTGAACAAATCAAAAGGGTTCAATTCGGTGCACTACGTTGCACAATGGTAGCAAGCCTCAGGCCACTGGAACAGCACAATACCGCAGTGAAAACCCTTCGATCAGGTCGAAACATGCTGGCAAGAGGCGAAAGGATGTTGGGTTGCGACGGATTTCGCGGGCTGTCAGACAGAACAACTGGTCACGCGGGAACTTCGAGATGCGCGATTTGGTTGGAAGTGTGTAAGGATTTACAAATCCTTACTCAGGCACTCGTTAGCGAGGCCATCCCGAGGGTCACGTGACGAACCTGTTCGGCCAATTTCGTCGCACCGAACCACCCCCGAGTCGGCCTCCGCCCCAATCGCAACATCATCGAGCCATCCATTCCCGACCTCTCCACCTAGCTAGCTTTTCCCTATTTAGGTCTCGTCACTTTCATTGTATGGGCATGCAATATTCAACCATCCGCGTTATTCTTTATTCTGCGCACTCTGCAAGTTTATTCATAACACCAGGTATCAGAGCTACTTTCCTAGCCTACCCCGCATTTTAGAGTGTAATACCCCTCGGGGAGGGGGGGGGACGAGGAAGGATATCTTGGGGTCCAGGAGTTGAGTAGGCCGGCCAGGAGAACGAGCTAGTTGCTCCTCGCGGCCATAATTTTATGGGCACTCCTTCGGCACCGCCAGATCCTTGCCTCGAACGGCCGCGATCGACCGTGGCCTCCCTCCCCCCGGGCAACGGACAGATGTAGCTGTCGCGTTATTAAAGTGAGTAATTTCCGCTACGATTTCCGACGATTTCGGAGCTTGATTCGTGTGGCAGCTGGCGTCAGCGGACCTACGTCGGCATCTGCATGAATAGCATCGACGTCGTCACTGTGTGTGGCTGTTGATGCCGGCGAACCTGAGTCAACGCCTGCGCGACAATTTCGGGATCGTCCTTACGCGACAAGTTGACGTCGGTGGCACACGTCAACATGTGCGCGAGATTTTCGGGAGATCCTCGGCAGCTGGCGACAACGGACCTGCGTCAGCATGGGCGACATTTTCGGAGCAACTGTGGAGAAAAATTCGGTTGGGGAACTCGCCAGGCGCAAATGGAGTTTTGCGTCCGAAAATGTCGGTGGCACCGGTGAACGGCACACGAACTTGTTGGTGCAACCCTACGGTTTGCACTCGGCTTGTTGTCCGTGTGCGTGAATGTGTGTGTGTATGGAATGGTATGAGGGCATGGGATGATATATATTTCATGCTTATAATTGTGTGTGAATGTTGAGTCATGATGTCGAGTGTGTGTGTCGAGTCAATAGCGAGTTATCGCTAGACGCGTGTTACGCGGTCGTTTGTGTCTCGCGCGCGGTTTCTATTTTGTCGTGCGCGGTTTCTATTTTGTCCTGTGTCGAACGTTCGGCGTGTCGCAGGTGTGTGCAGCAGACCCATCAAGAACTCAAGGATGAGTTTGTGATGAAGAGCCCGAGCCTTGGTGTCAAGCCTCAAGTGATTTCGAAGCTTGCCAAAAGGGTACACCTCAAGATATTGAAGATAGTTACATTACTTTGTGTAGTGTAACATTTCACTTGGTGTAGGCCCTAGTGAAGGGTAGTCGTAACTCTTCCTATCTTGTGTTCTAAGACTATAGTGGCTGCCATAGTACCGTTCGTTCAAACCGACGCTGTGTCGTCAATTCTTTATCAAATCGTGCAATCTAAATTGCTAATTGTAGACGACGTGAAGACGCTCCAGATCCAATTTGAATCAAGTCATTTGCAGCTGTGAGCAGAACGCTATCAACGTTTGAAGCCGCTGTGCAGAAATCCGTCTGTGCTCTCTATCTTTCGTTTTAGGCACATTCAAGCCTATTGTGACTATAACAAGTGGTATCAGAGCCCCTTGGAGCAGTTTCGACAATATCTGGACCTGAGGAAAGGGGTGGCAGAGGTGCTGGTGGCAGTGGAGAAGCTCAAGCTCAAGGCCCGCCCATGCAACCAAGTCTTGGCCCACCTAGGGATGAGCCTAGGGTGTTTGGGCTTGACAAGTTCAACGGTCACAACTTTGCTGAATGGTCCTTCAAGATGGAGAACATCTTTGACCACTATGACCTGCTGGAGGTGATGGAAGGAACGGAGAAGCGCCCCGAGAACGACCCGGAGAAGAGCCCGTGGGTGCGGAAGA